GATTTCCAAAAATAAGCTAAGCGTGAAGACGTTACAACTTGACAAACTTGTATTTGAGCCGTCCTGAGGAAACCATTAGTTGAAAATCGAAATTGGGAGAAATGCTTGTTCGGTGGCCAAATCAACAGTCAAGTCTGATTTAACTTTTTCTTTCCAGAATCGTTGTGCTGTTTGGTGCTCCAGAAGTCTGTCTGTGGCGTCATCCGAAAGCACATCACGAGTGTCCGCAGCTAAATCTGAAGCATAATCGTGCCAGATCCTCTTTCTTATATTAATAGCTTAATCAGTTGGCAATTGGCTGAGGGTGCTGTCAATGTAAGGTTGTCTGACTAGATATATTTACACGTGGTTTGCACATGCACCCGACACTCCTTGTCTAATTGTATTTTAATAATTCGTTATTTCTATTGGTCATCTGATTTCAAACGTGCCAATCGCTGGTCCTGTTATGCGAAGCTATTGTCCATTTGATGTTTTCGCATTCTACCTTCTCTTTCCTTTGTGATTTCCTATTTGCAGAGTACGTTACAAAAAGAATCGACGATTTCCTGAATGCGTCAAGAAACTTTGAAAACTTTGTTGGAAACCTTCATGGCTCAGACATGAGGTTAGTTTTGAGTACCTAATTTTTTCGCGCTCTCTGGGTCTGTAGTATTCTCATGCCTAATTAGAATTAAACAATCAAGCTTATTCTGAATAGTGGATTTAATGGAGTTCAAATGTTTCAGGTGTTTCCACATATACAACGATATACTGGGGCGTCTCTCGAAGCAGTTCATCTCCAACATAGTCGGCAAACCACTGAGACATGTTCTTGTGGACACCGCCTACACGCAGTCTAATGCCGCGAGCTACTTTCCCAGGATACGCACACTGCTGCATCAACTGGAACTAGGTGAAGACAGGGACGTGCGGACAATGTTGAAGTCTCTCAAGGTGGAACTCTCTGCCCTTGTGACCGCCTTCAACGCAGCTTCGACACTGCTGCGCGGTGGACTGTTTGGATCTCTTGACGCCTACCACGCCCACTTGTGCTACTAGATGTACATTTACCACATTCACAATCAACAGACCTACTCAATCACAAAGAAGCCCTGATTGCACTCCTAAAATTTAGCTTATATTTTTTTTCTGAACGTAATAGTAAGACGCAATTCACAGAAAATGAAACACGGTGAAAGCATATACAATAAAAAGAAGTGCGAAAAAAAGAAAGCGAAACAAAAACCCTTCAGTTCAAAAAACAGATTCGCAGTGTGGTGCATGCAGCAAGCTTAGCACTTGTGAATTGGCATGATTAAATTAAACTAACTTAATGATATTGGTTCGATGATTAAACCCCAGGAGAGTGGTGTTAGCAACGAGATGGGAAGCAGGTCGTGGAGGCTTCAGAATACAAGGGTGAGAAAAGGAACACGAGTATTCTGAGGAAGCAGTTAACTCCTTTTGTGGAGTGATGTTATCTGCAGTTATCGATGCATGAAGACCAGCCTGCTTACGTGCTCAATTATATCCGTCTACCCTATCCATCCGCAACCAATCACCGCCACGCACCGCTTATTACAATAGTCAGCATTAAGTATCGAATTTCTCCTGAATCAACATTCATGGACTTGTGGCTAGGCTGTAATAAAAGTGGCCCGGTTGTGATGGTGACTGCGGTAACTTTTTGGAAGACGACAAAAGCAAAGCTAGAGGCAGATGTCTCTTGTGGGCAATCATCAACTTACGTAGCGTGGGAGTATCCATGGTTATGTGTCAATGTGAGCGTACTGGAAGTGAGGGTGTCATACCACGAGGTGTGGTGCGCTCGAGGTCATCGTGCTTATTTTTGTTGAATAAGAGTGAATGTAGTTAGAGAAAGTCAAGACCATCGAACACGATCAACGTGAAGGGGAAGAGAAGTGTGCGATGGCGGAGTCGAAGTTGCAGGAGAAG